GTCCTCATTCAATCGTACCAAAACATATATTTAACACTATGTAAATAGCCCCAAAATTGAAAGAAAAAAGTTTTTTCCCAAGTACCTTAATAATCACAATTCTAAAATATATTCTAGCAAGTTAGCCTACCACAAACACATTCTACTGAAATTCTGCAGCCTTGAGCATGCATGCACAGTGAATGTGGCAACACTGCTTTACATATCCACAGAGAATCTTCAAAGCCTCCTGATAAACGGCACATTTTGAAGAAGTACAGAAAGATGTAAGTGGTATAGGGCACAGGTACAATCTTAGGGACCAAACAGTAAATAAACTCCTGCCATTCTCATGTTAACAATTAGAATGTCAAAATACCTATAACAAAATATTTGAGGCACAAAGGTAAGAAAGATCTATCAGTAAGTAATCAAACTTGTTTTCACTGCACAAATTTAATCTAGTTTTAACTAAGATACTATTTCAGAATGAACAAGCATCACCTAACAGACCACACTTAGTAATTTCAAAAACATTATTTTACATACATAACCAGAAAATTTATCAATGGATTAAATGCCTTAGTTTTCATCCCCCAAGATTCAGATCAGAATGCCAAAAAGACATAATCAACTGCTTAGTAGAAGAATCCTTACATTATGGAAGCAGTAATAGAGTAGGCAGGTTTGCATCTCTCTTTCTTTATTGTATCTCATACACAGGGTTCTGCTGTTCCATGTGTAGGCATAAGCGCTACTACAGAAACCAATAACTGAACACCAAACCACAAAGTGTCAAATATATGGTCGTAATATATATATAGATGCTACTAACTGTGAATATTGCTATTTGCTACTTCTAAATAGAAGCTATGTGAATACTAAACTGTTTATTTGAAACTGCACAGGGAAAAATATATTTTATTCTCCCATTGAGACATCAAGAATCTATTCACCACACTAACAGCTGTTTAATGGTCTTCAGGCACAGGACATGATTCTGCAGCCTTGGCTTAGCCAGAACTCTCAATACGGGCAATCTATTTGGCATAAAAAGAGCTGCAGAATCAGGCATTTTCAGAGTTTCTCTGCAACAAAACAAATTATACATACACAAACTCAGAGCAGCTCGACAGATTTTTTTCTAACACTTGCTCTGTTATCTTATACAGGTACTCCTGAAAAGACCCAGGTTCTCTCCTTCTGTGTAGGCGTATGTAAATCATACACACATGTACAAAGGAGAGAGACATGTATAAAGTGCACACTGAGAGGCCAGCTAACGTGTTAAACTACTGCAGTGCAAATCAGAACTGAAGAATAAAAGGAGTCTCAGGACTCTAAATAACTGTATGCTGTCAAGGATTAATCAATAATCGAAAGACCTGAATGACGAGGTACTGTACTAGCATCACACAAGTTCCCCACCACCAAATCAATGTATAGTGTGAGCAACATCCATCTGCTTAGAAAATGTGCATTTCTTCAGAAGCAGGAAGCTTCTATCGCAAGCTTACATCACATCTCTCAGTTGGGTAAGGTGAATATATTAAATGTAAGCAGAATTTTCTTAAATAATTTAATAGGCTGGACAAATACAGAACTTAGTTCAGAGTAGGATGCCACAGTTCTGCATATTACAAAAATTACCCATGCCGAGGCAGGAATTTCCTGAACAAGCATCTCAGATGTTGTAGCTTACTGTCGGTCCTTTTCCTCTGTTCACAGGACAACAGTTCCTTATAGGCTTAGGGGCCAATCAACATCTGCTTTGCAAAGACACATGACAAGTGAGCGTATTCCAATGTGTGTATACACATATCAAGAGCACACACACAGATGATTATTAAAAAAAATAAAGAGAAGCCTTCTGTTCAGATGCTGGACTAAACATTCCAATTTTCTCTTTCAAAAGAAATCAATTTCTCTACTTAATGATACAACATACATGGAGATTGACATGTGGGAATTAAAAATAAATAACAACGTCCAAAACCAATTGTGTTCTGCAAGCTAATGGTAACTATTTTTTGACACAACCCATTTTATACATCAGAAAATATTAATTTAAAACCTGAAAAAAAATTTATCTCAATCTCTTACTGGTTAAATGGAAGAAACATAATATAAAAAACAATGATGTCTTCCCTTTATGACAATTATTTTTAGGGAAAAAATAATTTTAGGAATAATCAAAGAAATTGTGCTCTTGCCAGACTATTCTTTCTAAGCTGCATGCCAGTCCGTACGATGAAAAAAAAAAAGAAAAAGAAAAAAGAAATCTGTAAGAAAGGATGTAAGGTTAGATCCTTAAAAATATAAGGAAGTATTTCTAAGGGTCATACCGAGGACATTAATGAATTTACTCTCACTCTTCAAATAAAAATAAAATACTTTAAACAACCTCTGCCACGAAGAAGCAGCACCCTGAACTAGCAAGCACGATGTCTGACAACGGTTTTCCTAGCTTTTAAAGACATGAATTCTGAACTACCTGTTTAAAAGGAAATGATGCAAATATTTTTAGAGTAATTATGAAAGGTTATGCATATGAGGCCTCATTATATTATGGCTTCCAGTGACCCTTTTACCATTGCAAATTCAAAAAAAGGTAAAAATTAACACACACACACCCCCCCCTTATTTCCTTGGAAGAAAGGAAAATGGAATAAAAACTAAAAACATGACAGAAATGGTGTATTGGAAGTAGACAAACACATACACAGCCCATCTAAGGTTTTTATTTTTTTTTTTTCAGTATTAATACACCATCTGCAATATTAAGCGGTGATTTTTCCAGATTCTATTCATTACTTTATGGAAAGATCCAGCCGTTGGAGGACCCCAAAAGCATACACCTGCATTTGTTCCTGTCAGACCTTGCTGTTAAAAGATTTAACAGTTCTTAATAGAAAGATCTTGTTGAAGGGAAAAGAAACCCATCAAATTCTAATGCACTACTCCATTTAACACAATTCACTTTCCTACTGAGAATTTAAGACTAATCTCACACTCGTGTAGAAAAATAATGAGATCAACAACTCCCGATTCTTCTTGAAGTATTCTAACCACAATTCAAACCCAAAAACACGTTTTCTCTCGAATATCTGGATTTGTTGCAGAGCTGAAACAAACACAACCTCTGGCAGAGCGGCTCCTTCTTCCCTTCTTTGTACAATATACGGCATTCTCTCACCTACAGCAGCTCACATGCAAAGACGATCTATTTAAGAGGCATGCACAGGTTAGGCATCGAGCTAACAGAAATGCAACGAAACTATTATTTGGTTTCTTTTTTTTAATAAAAATCCAATCCCTCGCATAACATCCGTAATCCGCAACATTACAGAATGTTTAGATTTGTCAGGGTTGCTTTGGGGTTCGATTTTTTGTAAGAAGGCGCGAGCGCGACCCGAAAACCCGAACCCTCGTCCAAAACCACTGTTGTTACGAGGCACCTTCCCTACCGCCTCTAATTAGCGCGGAACTAAAAATCTGAAATAAGTAAGTAAATAGAGGTAAGTAGATAAACAAATCAGTCGGTGCCCAGGAGAAGCAGGCGGCGCGGGCAGGCCGGGGGGCGCAGGGGGAAGGAAGGTGCCGGCGCGGCGCTGGTGCCCCGGTGCCCCCCCGGTGCCGGCGGTGTTTGCGGCGGGGGCTCCTGTGCCTGCGCCGCTCCAGCGCCTCTATTTACATCAGCGGCGCGAGGTGCCCAGTGGCGCGCGCGGAGCCAATCAGATGGCAGATTAGATGTCAACTCGGAGGCAGCTGTCGGGAGACGGTTGCAGCCAGTTTACCTCCACAATTCAAATTCCCAACCTGGCGGGCGGAGGAGACCCGGACGCTCCTCCAAG